TGGAAGCCACTATAAAAACAAAAAGAATCTTTTCAATTTATGTCATCACTATGAAGACTTCAGACTTGAAGCAGAATGGAACTTCTTTGCCACCTCGCATGGGAAGAATGCCTGTGACAGCATTGCAGCACCACGAAGAGGCAAGCAGCGAAAGCCAGTCTTCAAAGAACTCATTTTAATCAAATCATGTGCCCGCTAGCACTGTAAATATTCTGCACAGAAAACAAAGGGTAGAAACCACAGATCTGATACTTTCCCCTTCCCACTGGTTTTTGAAGGTCAAAAATAGCGTTTTTTCCAAAATCGATAGGTAATGACCTTGTAATGACATGATCTGTTGTCCATATCATGAGGAACAAATAGGTTTTTCATTGGAGTCTCTAGCTTCAATAGTTATCGAGATACAGAAGATAACGCAGACCTCCATTTGAGTCGAAAACGCGTTTTTTCGCATTATAAAAACGGCTGTACCGGGAGAACCAAGCGGATCACAGTTTTTTTAACATTTTTTTGAGGTGTGAAAATATGTAGAAATAAGTGTACAAATTTTGAATTTTTTAAAAAATGGTGAGCGACCTCTCTGGATGATTTCACATGGAATTACCCGTATATAGAAACAAACTGGTTATTGTCATGAAACTTTGGTGGAAGGGGGAGGCATGAGTAAAAGTGGTAACATAAAAATGATGCTACTTTTGTGCCTGGAAGTGCAGATCTCATCATGTACCATAAAACTGGGATGTCAGTTGTGGGAGGGTAATGTTTATTTGTACAAATATTATACTTACTATTTACAGTGTTTAAAAATTGAAACATGGTGCGCTCCAACTTCAGAAAACATCTGATCATTATATACTGAATGCTAGATGCCCACAGTAGATTTTCAAAATGGAAAACACTTTCCTATAAAAACTTATTACTCATGAATCTCATGAAAACTCATAAAATTTTTAACTTTTAATGAAGTGTGTGACATGGAGATCTTGCTGGATGGAGATTCCTACTGGATAACCAAACACAGCCACACAAACTTTATACTGTCACTTTTTCCATTGTTCCACTAGGTATAATATTACTTATCTGTAAAATCACAAACAGGATGCAACATTACAAAAAGGAGAGTCCTATTACCAGTACTCTGGGTTTCACATAAATGAAAATGCTAAAAACAAAGAATTAAATACTATTATTAGTATAACCCCCCTTTTATACCCTCGGCCGTTGCTATGCAAATGAGCTTTGTCATAACCGTGGAAACGCTGCTTTGTTGATTCCGCGATTCCTACGAAATGACCCATTGTTATTGCGTTGTCTCTGTGGGAATGCTCCGTGTATTCATCGTAACCATGGAGATTCAATACAGTATCGCTATTATTACTTCCTATGCAACGGTCTGTTCTAGCGTTTCCATAGGGGTGACTCTTCTGAATTCCAAATTCCAATTCTGATTTTCAAAATAAGCATGTTTTTACCTGTCACAGGTGTGACATCTATATAATAGGTATATAAAAACGTGTGCATTCGAATGCAACGTTGTGTCAAAATTTCGAAGCAATCGGTGAAGAACTTTCAGAGATTTAAGATCCTGAACAAACGAACATTTACATTTTTACAATATTATATTTAAGCATCCTGTTGCACTCCATACGATAAATGATATAATGATACAAATTCCGTCCCAAGTGCAAACAATATATTATGTGTCCTTGATCTTGTTCACCTACACTACATGTTTCGGCCTCAGATGGCCATCATCAGGTGTATAACACTCACATCGCTGTCACACTGCACTTAGCCCAAAATTTAACATTTAAAACACTTTTCTTGTTATTATCAACATCTACGTCGTTGATATCTGTCTGGATGTAGATTATTTTACACATGTTAATTTTGACGTACCTGTAGTAGCACTATAAAATCTTTAGTTCTAATTTACATTTTTATTTATATAGATAAATGAATTACAAGAATCTGATGAAAACGTAGAAGTGGTTATCTGCCTAAGCCAAGGGCAGTAACGACTCTTAGACTGAAATTACAAGTAGTCTCAACTAGTTGTCTGATCTAAAAATCGCTTGGGTCGTCAGTCCTTGGGGTTTTATACTACACTTAAGGACTCACTCCCATCTGCTGTACTGTTCCCAGCACTGTTCAGCCCTCGCTCCAAATGTGACGTAGTGTCTCGGGTCACAAGTTCAATTGATATCTAGCTGGCTGACAAACACTTTTGGGGAAGAATGCAGCTTACAACAGCTCATACATACATTCTGTTAAAATAACCCAATTCATATGCAATACTTCTGTGTTTGTACCTATTCCTGCAGGTAATTTAATATCATTATATGTTACAATACATCTATCCTAGATCCCTATACAACATGTTATTTGGATATAAATGAGAGTTGCTGATTTAAATGAACTCATGTCTAAGTGAGGCTTATCTTAAGGCTTTGAAGAGCATATGATTGGAAAATTTAAAACAGAACTCAGGCTAGACTCAACGATACAAATGTTTACATTGTCAGTCTTTCACCATACTTTGTAACAAGTCTGCCCTTCTTCTTTGGCTCATTATCATCTTGATCTGATACTGGTTCATCATTCTCCTCAATACTGAAGTCTGAATCTACCTCGTCTTCTCCTTCCTCTTCAGACCTATTTAAAAACATTTGTTATTTAATGGGTTCTAGTATGTACACAAATTTGTGTTACACTTAAAAATGTAAAGTTGTCCCTGTGCTTAACAAATTAAGCACTATGCCAGGAAGGCATATGCTGGAGTGGAGGTATAGATCCACGTTTTCTTGACCTTGTGAATCTAGCATATTGTAATGAGCATGGATAGTTCAGTTGGTATAGCTACGAGCTATTGGTGGACGAGGTTCAATTTTTGGCACAGTAAGAGATGTGTGTCTACTCCATGGCATGCATACTGGCTCTGGTGCCCAGTCAACCTGTCCAATAGGTTCTGGGGCTCTCTCAAGGGTATAGCAGCTGGGACATGATGACCACTCACCTCCGTCTAGTGCAGAAGTAAAGAATGATGAGGCTATGCCTCCAATCCCCCATATATCTTCATACCACAGTGCTTAATTAAGTACAGACTTCGTGACTGCTTGTTTCTGCTTACCATTTATTGAATTCTGACATAGAATTTTGTAATTTTTTGGATTAACGGTGATCTCCAAACTTTCATTTAAACAAAAAATCTCAATGGGTATTTATCACACGAACTGCAGTGACATGATCTAGCACAACAGCATTTCTGATGCCCAGGAGCAACTTAAATTGAGGCCATCCTGTGAAGCCAATTTCTTATGATAGTTACTCTTTTCTTTGTCTTTATTTAGCATACTTCCCCTTCTTAAGGAAAGAGAGTAGCCTTAAGAGATTACTCTGCTGTGTGTGCTCTTTTTCAACCAACAGATCTGTTTTCTTGAATCTTTGCGTGAATATCATCAAAAATAATGTCAGATGTTTTAATTTCTTAGAGTCATTAATTAGCATCTTGGCAGAGGCACATGAGGTGGTAGCAACTGTATCACAACTTAATTTAGGGTCTGAAATGCTCTCTGAAAAACGTGCAAAGTTTGCCATGGCTGGTGGGGGGGGAGACATTAACATGGCATCTGGACAAGCTTTAGAGGGCATTTGGTTTGATGGTAAAAAGTTGTAAACCCTTAATGCTAGGCACATGAAATCTGATATAGGGATATCTCAGAACCTGCACATTATATATGATACACTCTTTTTAAATTAACATTGCAAATGTGCTGATATAAAACTCTGAGGTTATCTGCAATAAATTTAACGTGGAATCTGTATTTCAGAAAGTGTTCATACAAAAAGTAATAGATTTTTAGGCCCAGGAAAGTAGGATATATGAGTTTTGCTAATAGCTTGTTTTCTTTTTTTGCTGTTAATTTTCTTCGATGTGATTAAGATTGTAAGTCAACAAAATGAATAATATTCCTGAAGGCTAGCGCCTGGACATAATTGCATCTTTTATGACATAATATATATGCTCCTGTTACTGACTGACTGACTTTTACATATTAAGAAGCTATTAAAAGTGATGAAACTGACAATTTCAGTGTGGAAGAAAGAACGGCATGTACATATCACACTATTAATTAACACGATATAACAGAATCCTTATTGGTAAACATATTCCCCACTTTACATATATCATCAACGTTCCATATTCAAAAGAGCCTACCACAATTATGAAATTTGTATGTATTTTCTAGTTGTAAGATTTGAGGCTTTCATGGCGGTGACTATGAAGAAAGCAGTCTTCTGGGATTTGGCACCGTGTATACTATGTGGTGTTAACCGACGTTTCGGAGGAACGTATCGCCTCCATCTTCAGGGTAGAAGAAAAAATATAAGAAATCTGCAAGCAAAGAGACCGTGAGAACCGGTAAAAGCAGACTGTGTGGAAATATACACAGCTATGTGAGAGCAGAGAGGGTAGGGGGGAAGGGCAAGTATACAAGTGAAAGCAGTAGTGTGGGAGGGGTAGGGGAAGGGAGCTGGGACAAGCATGGTTTTTGTCCCAGCTTCCTTCCCCTACCCCTCCCACACCACATATACACGGTGCCAAATCCCAGAAGACTGCTTTCTTTATTTTCTAGTTATTTATGGACTTATCAAGGAAAATAATAAGTTATCCCACAAAATGCTCATAAGAGGAAGATAAGATTGTGACAGTCCTTAGATCTGTCAGTATAGTAATAGGCCCACTGTGTTATCAAAACTATGAAGCAAATAATAATTGTTAATGATTATATCATTTAACTCATTCCCCTCCAGATGGTTTTGAGCGAAGTGATATTAAACTCAGTTTGAAAAAAAAAAACAACGTAGTAAGAACCTCTGCAGTACAAGATATCAGGTTGCAACATTATTTATCGGGAGAATGTTTCCCACCAGTGCCTGTAAAATATGAACATTTCAATTACATCAATTATTATTTCTAGCTATCCGTGCGACCCAGTGATTTTTTGGGAGGGAGCAGTACACAAATGCTGGTGGTATGATAGCATACCCTCTTACTGACCGAGCCATCGGCACTGGCGGCAGCCATTTTGTATCGAGAGTGTGTGCTGCCCACCGTGGCAGCAGTGGTGCTTCATGACGTCACGCTGGCTATGTAGCCCGCCAATAGCATTGAGTTCCTACCCCATGCTCTTCATCGTTATTGACTTTGGTGGGTGCTTTATTTCCGAAAATTGGGATTGTGACATTACAATATTAAGATGGTAATTCACAGTTTAGTAAATAATAATTTGATTCATAGTTATGCAGTCCATAACTTGAAAGTTTGTGTATGGGAACGGAATAGTGATACGATTGAAACGCAAGTTACTGTCCTAGTTTTCTAGGTTATGTTACTAATTAGAATACTTTTTTCAGCATTCGTTACTATATAGAAAAGAAAATGCACATGACGATAGCATATGGAGCTGTGCTTGGGGAAGAATGAAAAAGAAAAACGACGAAAATGGCGATGGTGAAGGATCAAGGTATGCAGTTGTGATTTATCCCAATCCAGATTCCCAATTTAAGATGAATATGTAGGCAAATATTACATATCACGACTCTTTGTACGTTTATTCTATGGGCATACTGCATTAGAGAATAGAATGTCATAAGAATAGCTTCCAGCACTATGTTTGTGTGGCCTGTCCTATCAGTCAAATTATTTTCCAGTCACCCCATATTTGGACCGTCAACAGACATCACTTATTATCTGGGGAAACCACTCCACTGTACACCTTGTCCTTAGACTCTTAGGCACGTTGTTGTTGTTAATTTGCTTCATAGGATATTTTCATCCTATCTTTTTTAGCGGTCATTTCAGTGTTCCTTTTTAGTGTGTTATTCACTTTAGTTGTGTGTGTGTTCAGTGCTGTTTTTTCCTTGTACTTCCTACAAAGCAAATTAACAACAATGTGCCTAAGGGTACTAAGGACAAAGTGTACAGTGCAGGGGTCTCCCCAAATAATAAATGTTACCTGATGATGACCAATGTGTGGCCTAAACATGTAGCAGTGACATCAAATGTACATGGTTAATGACATTTTAAAATATTTAACAAACACTTTAGTGAATAAAATATATTGTAATGTGTTTTTTGCCACTGAAGACACCGTTCAGATTGTTAATTGGTTTATTTAACAACCTACAAATCATAACTACAATTAATTATAACACAGTCGCGAGTTTACACAATTTATAAACCCAACATAATAAGCTGTTCACTCTATCTACAATTGTCTTCACTTATTCACAGTGCAATACAGGAGCTATACCAGTGTCACTGTATTACACACTCCCAATAACTTCTCACACTATTGCCTCTAATCACATGTTCTGGTATTCTTCATGTTCACGATTCACTCAGTACAACTGAACTTGGCGACTACTACAATTCAGCTGACTTTGGCGGCTGCTACATTTTAACTGGTTGGTTACTCCCTGTCACTAGTAATTCACTCACTCGTAACTGGCTCAATTCATTCATTCATTCCTGTTTATTCATACTATAGATCAGATTACATTGATGTAGGACCTGTCACATGATGTAAATTATAAAATTAGCAAAAATACAATAAATTCTTAACCAATAAGCTAACAAAATATGTAATGATTGTTAACATCTAGCATGTATCATTATCCTGTATTTAACACATTGCGGTCTGGTTGTTTAAATATTTAAATCACCCTGGGGACCGGGGTTTTTAAGCCTAGCACCCTAACTTGTGCACTGTTCACATTAAAAATTAATATAGAATCTCCTAATTAATTTTATGGACTAAAATTTTTGGAGAACACTTACCAGAGCTCCTAGAAGTGCCTGCACGTGTGATATCTCTGGAAACATTCCCCTTTGTGAAGAGGCATCACGCAGAAGTTGCAGATGTACGCAGTCCTACTCTTCTTCTTGTGGACTGCGCGCACATGGCTCTGCCTAGAAGGGTACTACTTCTTGCAGTGTTCACTCTTCACAATTCTCACGAGGGTATGTTTCCGCATATCACCCGAGAGTAGCCCAGGGGGGTCCACATGAGGCCTCCGGCAGGTGCGAACAGATGGCCCCGGCTGCACTATGTCTGCCTGACGCGGGTACTGCTGCCACCGTGAGGTCAGTAGCCCAAGCTTTTGCCAAGTTCAACAGAAAAGCTTTGTATTTCAAAGCACGCGGTAGCGTAGTGGTTAAGGCACTATGCTACAAGTCGGAAGGTCGTGGGTTCAAATACTGATGAGGTCATTGGATTTTTTTTCAATTGACGTAATCCTTCCGGCAGCACTATGGCCCTGGTGTTCACTCAGCCTCTAACAGAAATGAGTACCAGTAATTAAAAAAATAATTTTTCTGGGGAGTAGAGCGCGGCCGGCACGTAAGGCTGACAACCTTACCGCCATCTCTGAGCCGACTGTCTAGATAGTGTGGGACCCTTAACGTATCACAACCCTATGGGCCTTCATGGCCTGTTACAGGGATAGCTTTACTTTTTTTTTTATTAGGTAATTTATTATAAAAGATACAACCAGCAACTGAAGGTTTACTGTTATAAAGTTCTAAGTTAGGCACCCATTTATGGTAGTCACTGTTGTTTCTTGTATTGTGTGTGTGTACTTGTTTATTTACTGTGCAGTTACACTTATTAGTTACGTATAAGATGGTTTGTTGTATATAATACAAATATACTGTTAAAATCTTAAGTTGTTTAAAACTATCTCTGCATGATTTTAAAGGTTTTAGCCCTGCAGTGTACTGTAATGCTCTTTTTTGAAGAATAAAAATTCTTTTAGTAAGTGCCTTACTACTGTGTCCCCATACTACAATTCCATATGTTAAAAAGGGATAGATCAAACCATAATATAACATTCTTCTACCCTTTAGGTCCAGTATTTTAGCAAATCTATTTATTATAAATAAGTTGCGGCTAATTTGACTGCAGGTTCTGTCAATATAAACATCCCAGTCCAAGGTGCTGTCAATTACTACCCCCAAAAAGTTTATACTTTTGACATTCTCTATTTCCATGTTCTTTATTAAAATTTTATATTTATGGTCCTGCCTACATTGCTTTGTCTGAAAAAAGATGCAGTGCGTTTTGGCTGGGGTTATGAATAAATCATTCATCTCAAAGTATTTCTCCACAACTTCAATATTAGTTGAATTTATATATTGGAGTTAATTTATATCTTGCCCCATATTTAGTATTGAAGTGTCGTTTGCATACATTATAGATCTACCTTGTGTTAGGCAAGGAAAGTCATTTATATATAAAATAAATGGACCAAGGACCGATCCCTAAGGGACTCCACATTTAATTGGAAGGCTACTCGATAAATAGATAATTACGTGCATCTTCCTTAGTCCCCCCCCCCTTATAGATAGGGGAAACGACCGATTTTTTTAATATAGATGGAAAAATGTCATCTCTAATTGATGCATTAACCAATTCTAAAAGCGGTTTAGAAATATAAGGTGTACATTTTTAGCAAGTAATGTGAGATATCAAGTCCTGCTGACTTCTTATTCGCCATACTGTGGATTATTTTAATCAAATTGGCCTCTGTTATTTCAAGCAAAACAAATGAGTCTTTTAAGCTAACTAATATTATTAATAGATTGTGGATGGATTAAATTTTTATCGAGTATAAGATTATTTATGTGAAATGTTTTAAATATTTGGGTAGCTTGTTAACAGATGATGGAAGGTGTACTAGTGAAATTAAATCCAGGATTGCCATGGCAAGAGCTGCATTTAG